GCTACTGCAGCTGCTACTAACTACTACTTCTACTACTACTACTACTACTACTACCACCTACTACTACTACTACTACCACTACTACTACTACTACTACTACTACTACTACGACTACTACTGCTGCTCCTGCTGCTCCTGCTGCTACTGCTGCTGCTGCACCGTTCAGGTCTGGCGACTCCCGATGCGTGCCTTCGTCAGAAGCGCCATAACTAGAGGGATGCCGAGCAGCTGCAGGACGTCTTCTGCCGCAACATTCCACTTCCTGTCCTCTGTAGCAGCGTTGGCTCACGACGACTTGTGCTGTCTTCGAAAAGGACGAGCGTGAGGAGGAAACATATACTGCAAAAGTCGCTGCCCGGCAAAGCCGGTGACAGCTAATGGCTCACAGAAGTTCCCCGGAACCTGGCTTGCTGAGCCCGTCCTCCTCTCGAACCATCTCATCAATCGCGAAGTGCAGCAAGTAACCTTCAGCAACTCGGTTTCTCTTGCCTTGGTTCCGCTGACGATCTTGGAAAGCACACACACACAACGGGGTAGCACGGTTGTGGGCGAGGAGTCGGGACAGGGTCGTTTCCGGAAGGCTGGCTTGAGGACCAGTGCAAGCTGACAAACATCATGCACCATGAAGTCTGCTCGACAGGCTTCCAGCAACGGAGGTCAGCAAATTTCGCAGCAAACGTGCCTCAAGTCATGTGGGCCTTAGTTATAGTCGGCCAGGCCATTGATAGCGTCTCAAGGAGAAGAGAGAGGCTGTCACATTACGCGGTTCGCACCTGCAGGTAACGCACCCAACATTGCATATTCAAGCCTCCGGCTCTGGAGCCCTTGAGCTGCAAAGTCCCAGGCCCATGCCCCAAAGGCTTACTGGAGGCACCAAGACACAGCTTCTCGGGGACGGTGCCAGCAACGATTGTTGGCATCGTCGCCATCAGAATCAACACAAGCGCGGTAATCTTTGTAGGTCTCTGAGAGCCGAGGGACGGTAAAACTTTCCAGGGCGCAGCGGGTTGCTCAGCTTCATCTTCACGGCATGTTCCATTTCCTCATGAAGAGACTGTCTGCGTGCCATGTCCCAAACTGCTGCCATCAGAACCTGGCCAGCCTATGCCAAAAGTCGTCGCGACAAGCGTTCGCATGATGAGGTAAACCTACACAAACAAACCCAGCGACAACGGAACACGAATTCAAGGCCTCCTCCGTGGATGCCAAGTCACCACATCTGGAAGGATGCCGGGCTCCAGGTCTGAATCGCTCATCACGTCCTGACTGGGAGAGGGCCGGACGTGAAATCTCGATGTCAACACTGATCCAACGGAGCCTACACTTCAGAGACACTTAGAAGCCCCTAGGTTTCCTGGCCCAAAACCTAAAGATCGCTCCAAAGTCTTGAGCCCTAAACTTCCAGATCCTCGCCATGAAAGTCTGCGATGGTAACTGCCCGGCGCTTCGAGGGCCCACCCAAACGGAAGTCCTGCAGAGCATAGATGTGCTGATGTGCTACAGTATCTCGTGTTATACCGACAGGGATGCCACCCTACTTCGCTACACGTATCTGAAGTCCCATCCTACAAAAACTTCAGTGCGAGCTCATGTGATACGGCTGCGAGAATGCGATAGTCAGCCGAAGCTGAGGTCAGACCTCACACATCCTCACGCGCGGTGTTGTCACTGTATGTGCGAACACGCAGAGGCGTCAGCATGTGGAGAGCTGAGGCGGAATGGTTGTCAACATTGAGACTTCAAGGCACCGGACCCATGTTGCCGCGCCTGGACAGTCAGGGATCCCTCTGCCGCCGCGCTCTCTTCTTCCAGAGTTCGTGACCGGATAATGGGAGAATCCATCATGGACCTGGAGAGGCTCGCTTGGAGCTCCGGGGGGCTTTTCCCCGTCTGTGGCTATTGGAGGCCTTGGAGAAGGCATCTGTATCGTCCCGAAGAGATAGTCCAGCACGTGCCGAAGGCAGCACTGGAAGAATCGGTAGCCTCGGCTAGAGGTGACGGCCCCGAGTCCCCCCATTGCCCCAGACGGCAATTTCGGGGTGTGGAAAGCATTGGAAGGCCAAACAAGCACAAACACTAAGACAAGCAGCCGAGCACCGACACGCAACACTGCTGGATCTTGAGCACCCTGCTTTCCTCCAAAGTGTCCCTCGCGGGCAAACACTGGTGACTATGTCGTGATCAGAAGCCTGGTGGGAAGCCTGGTGGGGGGCGGGGGGGGGGGCCTGACCAGAAGCGAGAGTTGAAGTAGATCGTCTTCTTCGTGAGGGTCCTATGCAGTTCCGACATGTACAGTCATCTTGATTCAGACCGACTCGCTCCTTCCTAAATGCACAGCTCGCTCCTCTGCATCTGCCATCACCACGAACTCGCTGCGTCGCGCATCGGCAGTCTCCAGGAACCTTGCAGTGATCACCATCAGCGTAGGAACTCCCTGAGGGGTCCCGACCCCCGAGGCCGCGACTGGCGCGCCTCTAACCTTGCCTTTGTCCCCTTCTTGGCAATCGCATCCAAGTTGAGTTCCTTTGCAGGAACAGGCAGGGTCATGCCAGGGAATGCTGCCGAGCTACTGTTGCTGGACCTTCTGGCCGTGTTTGCTGAAACTTCTACAGGCCGCGATCTCCTTCTGCAACCAGTCTGAGAAAGAGGTGTTTTGGCTTGAAAGCCCCGCATTGGCGCGATGATTAAGTGAAACATCGAAACAAGAAGTCATGGGCACCTCAAATTTGCATGGTACCCTTGGATGCGCGACTGCCTTACGTCGCTGTAACTTGGAAGTTTCGGTCACGGCAAGCGTGGGCTTCATTCAGCGAGCACCAGGCCTCGAAAAGTTCTCGATGCCAAGGTGCGACCACCATGCCCCTTTTGATGCCGATGTTGCGCAAGCGCAGGCTTCTGAGTGTGCTCGCACTGGCACCTCCTTGTGGCCTGTGCACCAGCCACCATTCGGATTCCAAGAAACGACAACTTTCGTGGCTATGCCACAGCTGTTGCAGCCACGACACCTCAGATCATTGCAAGTCGCGCCGCTGAGATCCATTGTAGTAGGATCTGCAGTATTTTCCAGGAGGATCTTCACCACCTTCCATGGAAAGGGATTCAGCCAGAAGGAGGGCCTCCGCACAAAGCTCTTGCCAGATATCCTGGGACCCCTGGGATAGCCTTCGGCTCTGCTCAACCGAACTTACAGCATCCTGGCCGTGGAGCTTCTTCTCTGCTGATCTCTGAAAGTTTCAGCTAAAAAGGGGCGAGGGATGCTCGGCTCTACTCAGGCCCTGATCCTGGCCCCAGAGGGCCTGGTGCTGAATCACCGCATCATCCCCGGCCCTGGCCCACAGGGTGGTCGCCAGGTGCAAGGGAGTGTAGTCCGGGACAGCATCGAAGGTGGCCCTGGGCTGTTTCGGACTTCCCAGACTTCTGCTGGCCTGCCTGGCCTGGACCCATAAAAGCAGCATAAGTACTACCAGCGAAATAAACCAAGGGGGGAAAATGAGCCGCAGAGCTAAGCAGTACTGAACAAATTTCTGCTCAGATTCCGGGATTCCACCGCAGCGCGGCACCGGATCAGCACCTCTACCCAAACTTCCTAGCTCTTTGCGCTGATCGGACTAACGCGAAAGCCCCAATACGCATCAGACGCAAGTTCGGCGTCGGAAGACAAAAAACAGTTTGCGATATCTTCTGTGAATCAGTGGCACTCGCTTAGGATGCAAAACAGCATCATCTTCATCGTCATAACCTTCACAAATCACTGCCACCGTTCATCAGGTATGGAACATCTCATGTCCTACGTCCCACATCTCCAAACCTTGACGGCATGCACATTTCCGGCATAGACCGCGAAGTGGATCCTCGGTGGATTGAATCCAAGCACAAGATATGACGGCTCGGTGGAGGCTGTGGCATCGCGCGCGGAAACCTTGTCCCCACCAAGCTGCGGTAAAACCGAGCATGCGACCTTCTCCTTGATGATCAAACCCTCCTGCAGGCATGGATCCGAGACGGGGCCATATGCGGCCTAACTCTACTCCTTGGCTTCAGCTCTCTCGCGTCTCAAAGCCCTGCAGGTTGATCACTCGGCTTGCAGCCTCTTACTTTGGGAAAGGTCAGGCATCCAGAGCCCACAGATGCAGAAGCCCTGCACCATGCAAGCACTCCCTTCACCTGCTCCCGCGGAAAATCCAGCTCCACGTCGAAGAGTGCACGTGCGTTGATGTTGCCCTTCAGGCCTTGTGCATGTTGGCGGTTTTGCTTCATGGGCCATGGTTTGCGTAGCCCGCTTGAGATCCTGCACACCTGCAAGCCTTTTCCTACGAAACTGTCGGAAAGTTCAACGTGCGGTCTGACCTTCTGGTCTTCTCATCATGAGCTACCACGGCAAGCGAACAGAATGGCAGCTCGGCGAGGGACGCGCAAGGTGGAACCCTTCCTACACATGTTGCCGAAGAGCTCAGTATGAGGTGGAGATCCTGCTCCAAGCGCTCGTGGCTGCAGAACGCTGCTACCTCAAGCAAGCAGACTTACCGTATCTAAGGAGCCTTCCAGCCAGCTGCCAAGGCCTCGAAACTCTGGCATTAACCGTCATACCAGTACCTGTTTAAGCAACCGCATCCGGACAAGCAGCATGGACCAGGCTGATCTGAGACCAACTGCCCACCGATTCCAGGGAAAGCTTGCACATCCGAAGCTTTCCGCGTTTGGCCGCGGGCATCACTGCCTGTGCCGACTTCGATGCGTCCCTCGAGCTGACGGGGAAGCCTGCCTTTGAACCCTGTCCAAGTCTTGCCCCAAACCAAACTCAGAAAGTTCCCAGACATGCCTCCTCCAAGGAGTAGGCTTTGGGAAACTTCATAACGACGCTGCGCAGAAAGGCTTTGAGCAGTTGGATGACCTGCTCTGGAAGCTGTCCATTGAGGATGAAGCCTGGCAAGACGAGGACTGGGCCCACTGCCGGTCACTACAGCACCGGCAACCAATCCTTCTGGTATCTTAGTATAGCCATAGCACTGCCACTCTTTTAGACTCTGTACCGTCACTTCGTGCCTACGTTCCACGGGTTCGGCCCCAGCACGTTCGACAGGGACGCGTGCTCGGTGGGATCTTGCTGGAACTCCTCGGCTCGAGCTGCAAAGGGCAGCGGCTTTCACTCCCTTCGCTGCGATTGGTATGCAGCAAGCATCCATAGCCGAAGACACGCTGCTCTCTGCACGGATCCACGCAGTAATATGCCGCGAACACTTTGCATGTCAGGCTCAAACCTGGTGAAACCCCTTTGAAGGAAAACCTCTAGAATCTAGAATCACACTGCCCGTAAACTCTGGGATGACTGAGTTTCCAATCGAACTCCTGCATTGAACTGCGCCTCAAATCAAGTGTTGAACCCGCAGAGACATCAACCGGCCCTCGTCTCGGGTTGGCTTGACTACCAGAGCACAGGAAGATCCCGCTCATCCCGTTCATCGGAAGCACTCAACACACTTGCGAACTGCACCAGGGATCAACATTGCACTTCTTCAGAATCCAATACACCTTGTTGCCACTTCCAGAACTTCCACCCCTCAATCCAATGCACCTCTGTAGGGAACTAGCATCCGTTAGTGGCACGAGAGTTTCCGTCAGCACGGCACCCAAAGCCAAGGATCGTGCATCAGGTCCTCGAACCACTTCAGCAAATCCTGCAGTTCAGCAACTACAAAACTGGTTCCGCTAGGGGCCTACGAGCGAAATCTCCTGAAGGTCATAGACGCGTTTCGAGGATGGCGTGCGCTGGTTTGACGAGTCCTCGCGGATGCAAGGGCAACATCAGAAACACCGAGATGATCCGAGATGATCAGCAGAACTCGAAACGTTCCCACGGAGCCATGCTCAGAAATGCTGTCAGCATAGGATACGTAAGGTGGGGAGCAAAAAGGCATGTCAGTGCTCATAGCTAGATGCCCACGGCGGTGAGCTCGAGCGTGCAGGAGTGCGGCTGAGACATGCTTAATCACCGAAATTGTTACTTGATGGCTTCATTGGGCTACAGAGGAAGCGTGGCCCATCCGGGGTTTCACAGGGTGGTGTCTCTAAGTCCTCGAAATTGACGCTCCGCTGGCCGTCCGACCTCACTCGCGCAAGTTGCGTGCGTGGGAGCTACTAAGAGTTCAACTCCAGAACAAAGCGAAAAACTGGCAATCGCACCCTTCATTACACCTCTCCACACAGAGTGACTGTCATCCTATAGAAAACCTCCCCATCACCAGCACGGCCATCTTTGCCTTGCCTTACAGTCATGGTCAGTACAATTATCATCGAAGTCGTCATGTTGATCGTCATGGCCACGGTGATCAGCGCCGATCCACGCCAGTCGTCGTTGTCGTTCCCAGCCTCGTTATCGTCATCATCCTCACCCTCACCAGTCCTCATCATGACCGTACTTAGCCTTCATCCTCCTGCGCTTCATCATCATCATCATCATCATACTCGTCAGCCCAAGCGACTCTTCGTCCATCCCGCTCCTGAATCCTGCTCGCAACCTTCGAGATTCACCAGTACATTTGGACATTGCCGCTTGCTTACCCAGTTCAAGCCTTTTTCCTTCGATCGTCTAGTTCGCTTTGCTGGTTCTGGAGATGTTTCCCAGCAGCTTTTGCAAGATGCTTTTCCTGTGCCCTGTGCCCACGGTTCCAGGAGTCCTTTGAAAGTGTAGGATCTACAAAGGTTTCCTTCTGACTCTGTTCCATTTGGGCATGTACTTACGGAAGTGAAGCCTGGACGGGTTTGTGGCTGTGGCTCAACTAACGAAAGCACACCTGCACACGGCTCTAAAGTATTTGACGCAAGTGAACAAAGAGGCTGCAAAAACCGCATCGACTTGGCTGGCTTTGTTGCACCTGCCACATTTTCGTTTTGAGAATTAATTGTCATTGGCAGGGAGCTGCCAGTTTGAGCACGGGAGCAAGTGGGTGCCAGAAGGGTCCCTCCAAGATCACGAATGTTGCGCTTGAAGTGGAGGTTGCAGTCGAACCATCGGGCTAAAGATACTGCAGTTATAAGCTATATATAAGTTATAAGCCAAATGGCCCGTGCATGTTGGCAGACTAAAGGCTTGAATCCAGATGCAACTCCATCATGGTTGAGAGCAAAAGTAGGGGCCACCCTGCCAAGATGCATATCATTGCTCATGAACTGCGTGTACCTTAGTAGTGCGGGGGCTGATCTGTGCGGGACACACCAGGTTCGAAACAGCATCCAACGGGGATGACACGTGAAGACTCACCTACAAGTAATTTCCATGCTAATGCCGATAGCGATACAGCCGTGGGAGAGGCGGCCGAGAAATCAGCGGCTGAACCTCGAAACAGCCACCAGTTCGCGGTAGGCCACATGAAAGGACATCTGCAACAACCAGCAATAGCCAACTTGGTTGCAGGTTGATAGCGTGCAGATGCACTCCCTACGAAGACAACGGAAGGGGAGCTTGAATTGAAGCGTTAACTTCCAGGCGCAGAGCTCTGTGCTGTTCAATCGTCTGTCAGGCAGCAATTCCCGACTGGGACCTCTTGTTCACACAGTCCTGATGACCAGTATCCTCAGCTCCAGTTCTAGGAGGGCGCATGCAGGCACAAATCCCGAGACTGATGAGGAAGTTGAAGAGAAGCGTTTACACATGGCTGTATATGCACGCCAGTCGGAGGGCAGAGGGCCATCGACTTTGCGGATAAGCTCGCAAAAACCAAGGAGCATCCTGCGAATATGATTGAGGATGAACGTCTCGTGAAGATGCCATCAGAGCAAATGCTCTCGGCGCCGAGTCATCTTGGGGAACACCCCGGTCGGCAAACACGCGCTACAGATTACAGGTAGTTTGGTGTGAGCTCCGAGCACGAGGAAGCTGGCCTCTTCATTAGTCTGACGGTCCTCACGACTTGTGCCACCAATACTTGACGCAGTAGAGCGGCTATAGAGTCGGCTAGAGCACTAAATTCACAAGAGGGCCTCCGCTTTTGGTTGTAATTCGCTACCTCTTGTGCTTGTGACTCTCACAACTCTGTGATGCTTGACTTTGTATTACTACGACCGTGATGCCTACGCAAGTTGTGGTACGAGCTCATTTCGAACAAGCTCCGGCAATGATGAAGCCTCAGCAATCCGAAGTTTAGATGCACTCTTGCAGACGGCATTCACGACCCGCCCTGGCAGTGCGCTTCCAGGACAAGCATTACAGCAACGGGGCAGGCTTTTTCTCCTGGTCCGAACGCTCAGGTTGGCACCGCCAAGGTCCAACGACGACTCCTTCTGGCGGCGGGTCCTGTAAGCAGCGCCCAGAGCTTGCCATGCTAAGGACTTCAGAGGCAAGCTGAAGCCTGCTTACTCAGTATACAGTATTGTATGGTATTATATAGTATTATATAGTACCATATAGACTTACTAGAGACCCACTGTTCGTCGTTCAAGCTGATCCCAACCATTTTCACACGCCGGGCATCTTGCCGTGGCTTCGCGAAAGACCGAACCGAGACGAATTGCCAATGAGCTAGAGAATTCCCATGCCCTGTCTCTTCCAATCCTGCTCTACTCTTGCTGGAAGCAGATAGATCAGTTCCGATGCCGGCTCGTGCCTTCCGGTGGGATGAGTCTTGAAGTCACTACGTATTGCCCAGCTTGCCAGTGTGTTCAGCGTTCAAGTGCTAAACCTGGCAATCTCTCCAAGGAGCCTCGAGAGGCTGCCAGCGCGTGTCACACGAAAGCCGGAATGACTGCGTGCCATTCGGAACTGTCGTATGCAGAAGATCCATGCCGAAGATCGCCTCCAGTGTAAAGCTTTCATGTCCGCCCCTGTAGTTTTGCACCGACAACGCCGCGTAGTGGCAATCGAAGATCCAGGTACTCATGCAGCTCTAAGGGGCCCCTGAACTACAGCGGCACTGATGAGGTTATAGGCATATTTACACGAAGTTGTTCTGAGATGTCCTGAATGAAGGGTCCTGCAGTCCTTCTAGACACCCAGCACTCAGAACAGGGCTTCTGAAATCCACGCCGCAGATAAGCCCCGCCCGATGTGCCCGTGCACCAAACCCGACAACGACACGTCTACAGTGCCTCTACAGCGAGTGCAGTGCTGCCCAGAAACCACATCTCCAGAGGCAAAGTGGGAACTGCGCCACACGCAACCTCTTTTGGCTCGATTGTTTGCACAACTTCTGCAACATTTTTTGCCACTCACTCTCGGCAAGGCTGGGCGAGGTCATCAGGGTACAAATTAAAGACCGCGGATGTCTCATCGGGAAAGCTGGGGAATGTGCAGCTTGCATAAGCTGCTTTAGCTTCGTGTCACTACGGCATTTGCCAGCTCTGAATGGCTGCTCTCATGCAGCGCTGCAAATTGCAAAACTCAAGCTGGACGGTCGAATCGAGCCTGTTGCCTGCAGCTGGCATGCCGATCCCCACAGGTCGAACAGAACAAAACCTAATACCTCGACACATCTTGAAACCAAGCCAGCATCCTTCTGGTAGTGCGAGGGCGCCAGCATCGGCTGCAAGCCAACCACTCCTCGCGAAGCTGCTGGCATTAATATGGCAACTGATGCCCTTCGTTCTCGATTTTCTCGGGTCTTGCAGTCGAGGACTTTAAACAGTGAAATCAATGAGTGAGTTTGGTGCCACGACATTGGTCGCTGTTTTGCGCTCCTTTCTCCATCTGACCCAACGCGCCGGTAGTCCTTAAACCTGGGCGAAAGGCTTCGGCACGGAACCCAAACCGCGCGACGCGCAACACGAGTCGAGCAGTCAACAGCAGCTCGAAAGGTCAGCAACAGCGGCACAATGTCAGACAAGTTAGCATTCACAAGCAAGTGGAACACGATGATGATAGTTGCGGGGTTACGGATGCTACATTTCTGCAGACCCATAATAATCCATGGTGGGCTCCGAACCGCTCAATAACTGCCGGATTCGTGTGGGAGCCCGGAATCCAGCAAAGCGAGCCAAGCTCGCGCTGCCCGCACCTGTCAAAGGTTGAAGCTGGGTTTCGGGGGCTAATCTCGCGCAGAACGTCTTGTCCCCTCCTCACGGGACCGAGTGGGATCCACGCCGTCAGCCGTCGGCCCTCACCCACATAAGCACGGTCCATGTGTGGGCCGGTGAAAGTGGTGGGCGGCACCGCCCGCAGCCACTTGTACGCTGTAGTCACCACCTGATGGCCCAGCAATGGCTCAGTAGTTAACCCCTCGAGCGTCAAGCCTCGTCCACTTGCAGGATGTTTGCTGTCGCCTCGAAAAGGTTCTCGTGCTCTAGCACTGCCAGAACCTGCAACCATGGCCAACTCTCCCAAGACTAAGAAAATCCAGTCAAAACATCCCCTCCGCCTCTGGCAAGGCCTGAAGGTCCAAGCGCCGCAGCAGAGAGGGCATCGGCACCTCCGTGGGCCAATTTATTTGGCGAGCAAGAGAAATGGTTAGTAATCGTTCACTGACCTCCCCCTCAAGGCAGCCCGGGGCGACCATGGCCGAGTCCAAGGCAGTCCCAGGCCTGAAACTGAAGGAGACAGAGGGAAGCAAGAGCAGAGCGATTTTGCCGCGCAAGCCTAAAGCCACAACATGCCAACACTTGTAAGTTCTCTTGTTGTGCTGTCGCGGCAATGTGCTTCCGGACGACACCGGTCGACTTCTAAACATCAAAGCCGCCTGAGTGCCTTCGCTGCCGACAACTCCCGCAATAGCCTGCAGGCCATCCGCAGCGGCAAACAGTGACAGAACATGATCCAGCGCAGAGCGACCTCCTTTTGCTGGGCCCTTGTGGCGGATCTGTGCCATCGCGGGCCCCTGGCCTCGTGCGGGCAGTGCTCACAAGGGCGGCAGGCAGCAGTCCGCGAAGCACCACCAAGCCCTCCTCCCAGGCGGAGGAATCTCCCACACAACATGCCGCCGAAAAGGCAAGGGCAAAACGCCCGTTTGGCTCCTTTTGCAGGAGCTCCCGAGCGCGGCTCCACAGGCGCCGCTGAGACTTCTCGGCTTACACATGGGAGAACACGTCTCCCCTGGAAAATCAAGCGCGGGGCATTGCAAACATGACTCGGGATCGTGTGTTCTCTCGGAGGAATTTCCCCAAGGCTCTGCTGCTTGAAGTTCCGGGCTCTGTCGACCACCGACCTCTGCTCGAAGAGTGCCGCCCACACAGCGAATGCTCAAAGCCTGGCAAAGGTTCCTACAGACTCTGCAGGCCGGCAGTGCGGCAGGAACTGTGACATCTGATCCGCTCCGCAACCTCGCGGCCAGGCGCTGCCCGGCCACCAGATCGCTGCTTCACAGCCCTTGCAATGACTCGCGCGGCCGGCTTCTTCTGCGATCGCGGAGCCATGTCGAGCTAGAATCTCTCAAGGATTGTTCTATCTCCTTGACTATAATCTCTATAGGTCTTTGCGTGCTGCAGGGGCAATGCCCCCAAGCTCAATGTCGGATTTTCGTGCTTTCAAGTTGCAGCCTCTGGAGTTGGTGCAAGTATGCATCTGCTTGCGAACATGCGAGTTTCTCCTCCTTCTCTGTGCTGCTACCGTTTTCCTGGTAGTGCGCACGGAGGTCTGCCTCAAAATCAGAAGAATTGAAGCCTGAACTTGAAAGATGCATCAACAGTCAACAAAATCCCTACACACATCCCTGCTTGGATCCCTGTGGAGGCTGGCACGACACGTCGTAATGGGTCACAACAAGAAAGACGCTTGAAACAGTAGTAGACCTCGGTTTGCTGACGACCGCTACATCCCGCTACTTAAAGGCTTGGTAAGCCATGTAAAAAGGCTTAAATCACCTCTTTTGAAGCCGGTCGAGGCAGGCGGCAAGTCGAGCCAGGCGCTGCGTGCGTCCTTTCTTCTGTCGGACGAGCTGAGTTTCTGGAGGAACAGAGACACGCCACCCTGCAAAGGATGTCCTCCGAGCTCTTGCCATGTCCGAAATCCGGAACTTCCCTCTCTCTCCAATCTACCTGGAACCAACACGCCCATGATGACGATTCGCCACAAATCGCGCAGCTCCGGGCGTTTCTTGGGCATAGTCTGCTCAGCGAAGCCATTGCTTGGAGGAGCTTGTGTTTCTCAGGCAGAAAGCCATGAGGCGCGGATTAGAAGTGGATCTCCGCCTCTGCTGCCAACAAGTTGCGCCTCTCGAATCACGGAGCTGCTTTCCTCCAGGTCGCCAACCGCTCCAGAGCATCGGCCAGGGTTGCTGCTGCCTTGCTTGAATGCTGGGTGGCAGTCGCCGCTGCATCGGCCAAGCTGCTTTCAGACACTGCTCCTTGGCTGAAACCATTCTGGGAGACATGGCAACAAAAAGACTCCAAGAAGCTGGCCCGCGTGCCAACTGCGATTCAACTTTCTCCTCTTCTCAGACTAAGTCTCGCAACCTCTCCTCTACCTCAGCTCTGTCAAGGAGTTCAAGCTGCTATCTCTAGGAATCTAAAGCCATGGACAGTCGCCTTCGAGGCCTAGAAGGGCCTAGAAGAACAGATGTGCTCTCACGGTCGGCCCAGGCACCCACTCCAGAACCCACAACTCATCTCCAACGGGGTTGTCTGCGCGAAGCCGCGCTGCTTCTTCTGCAGCACCGGTCAGCAATTCCAGCCAGCCTGGCGGAGATCAAGATAAGAATGCGGCAAAGGAAGCACAAAGCTTCTTATTGTCCCGGCTCCAACGGCTGGGGAATGAATCATCTTCGCAGCAGGATCTGTTTGATGTTCAGTGCGTCACCCAGAATACTCGGAAAAGCACCCGAACCAAACTGTTTGCAAACCGTGGCGAACAAGCTGAATGCTGTATCCACACCAGTACGGGGCCATGCTGACCAGGCACCAGAGATGTCCAAGCCGCAGTTTGCTCTCCTCCAGCGGCAGGTTTGAGTATTTCGTCAGCCAGACCAAGGTGGCAACTCGGACACGGACAGTGGCACAGATAGGGATGGAGACAGCGAGCGCACGAGCGAGCGAGCACGGAAGGGAGAGCGGGAGAAAGAGGAGCGAGAGGCAGGGAGAGGGAGACAGAGGGAGAGAAAGGGAGGGAGAGTGAGGGAGAGGGGAGGCGCAGGGAGGCAGGGAAGCCATCCACTGACCCCCAAGCCTGGACCCTACATTGCTAGAATCTTGCATCTGGGATTCATCAAAAGCTGGCACTGTTCCAGAAAGTCTTTCTCAGAGTCAAAGGTGTCTTGCAGATCTCCGATCCTGAGCAGTCTTCACCGAGAGACAAGCCACGTCGTAGGATAAACACTGCAGCACTCTCCCGACAGATCAGAACTCATTTTTCATGTGTTCAAACTCCATGTCAGGCACACCAAGTGCTAACAGAATGACCCCTGCACGTCATCATGTGCACTTCACATGGACAACTAGCTGCCAGGCATCTTCTCTCGGACCGACGTCCACTCTGACCGGAGGAATTGCCACACTTGCTGCGCGTTCGTTGCCTCAATAAGACTGTGGCTTTCATTCCGCATGGGACTGTTCAGCACACATCATCATTGGTGTATGGCAGATCTATACAATTCCGCTGTTAGCTGCAGCTAGCGTAGTGGTGTCTGGCCAGAGCAAAGTATCCACATGCGTCATTCAGGAATCGCAGCCATGTGAAGCACGTGTACAAGACGCTCCCCGGCACCCCACTCTTAGTGATCTCAGTGACCAGCGTTCAGCCAGTTGTGGTTGATAGAGATCGTCACGGTGAGGTTTTCCACCTCTTTCCGCGATGCCAGCCGAAGACACCGATCAAACATATAGAAACATGCACGTGCAGTTTTTGCACGGCGTTACAGCCTTTCACCTTCAAGATGATCGGCACAAACCGGAAGACTGCACAGGATGCATCTAGACAATCTTAGGCCTGCCTCGTGATACCACCCGCTGGGCACAAACATCAATTCTCCCTCTTCTTGGAAAGCCTCCAGCCTCACACCAGCACTCGAGCACGCAGTCAATCGGTATTCAGCGTAGACACAGAGCAGTACGGGCACCGACTTCTGCCGAAGATTGACATCACCTCACCCTACGCTAGAAGCCTCCCCAAGACGATGGATGAGTCGCTGCCACCATCACCACCCAAACCAACTCACCCCGTCTTTGCGCAACGACCGTTTCAAAGGAGGCGTTATTTTTGTTTGGCCGTTGTTTTGTTGTTGGCGTTTTGTTTTTGGCCTGCGGGGTCTGGGGTGCAGGGGGGTGCGGGGGCTGCGGGGAGCTCGCGAGGCGTGGGGGCAGCGAGGGGGGTGGGGGGGGGGGAGCCTCGAGGCCCAAGTCTTTACGTACAAGTGGGCTTCTTAGATTTGATTTGATCGGTTCTGTCATATAAACTTTTTTTGTTCTGTCTTATATTGATACTCATTCAATATGATTTGTATATTGAGGTTGTACAAGATGTTACATCAATACTGCAAGATATGCTACAAGACAGTCTAACGTTACATAAAAAGACTAGTATTGCTACATGACTGTTTGAACACTATATCAAGAATATGCAGAACTTGGCTAATATGTTAATAGACAACTACTCGTACTTACGGTCATTATTGTACATTAAGAATTTTGATATTCGTCTATTCTGCTATGGTACAGAATAGTATATTCTACCTTAAAACCTTACATCATATTATATACACCATATGATGTAGTATTCTGTTTTGTTCAAGCCCACTTAGTGAGTCACTTGTACGTAAAGACTTGAGCCTCAAAAAGCAAAAATAAATAATCCCCACTCCCGTTTCAACCATGTGTTTCCATTCACTTCATCCCTGCCTCTGCTCCCAAGCCTCCTGGAGCCCTGGGAAGTGCTGCTGCCAGTCTGATGTGCGACGCTGCGGCTGAGCACTTTCTGCTGCGGTACCCAGCCTTCGCAACACATCAAGTTGCCAGGGTGAGTGCCAATACTTAATTGGTACAGGGTTAAAGATGAGGAGTTTTTTGCATATGACAGAATCTTGTCCGTGAGAAGCGAAGGAGCAGGAAACAGAGACAAACACAATTGCCAGAAGCAGAGCAAGGAAAAGGCAATTCTGCTACAAACCATCGAATCACATTCCTGAGCTACAGTCATACATTACATGCCAATTCCGAATAGGAAACGCCACATGAATAGTTGAGACACAGGTACGATAGCATAGCTACCACATCCGGTAACAGGTATGGGAAAATAAATACAAATACAGAGCTGCAGGTTCAGAGAATGGTAAACCAAACAAGAATTCGAGCAAGAAAAATGATAGTAGCAGCAGCAGCATCAACAGCAGCAGCAGAAGCAGCAGCATCATCCACAGCAAGAAAACAAGACGTAGGTCGCAAAAGGATAATGGTGAAGCATGTGTGTGTATATATATATATATCTGTGTGTGTGAGAATGACAGTTCAGAATGCCGGCTTGAATGGCCCGACTTGAATGCCCCCAAATCCAAAAGGACGAACCAGCCGGGGGTAGTAGCAACAGCATCGCTGGCCACGCTAGTGCAAACTCAGACGAGGATGCCAAAAGCAGCGGAAAAAAACAGAAACAGCAGTACCGCAGTAACGGTAGCAGCGGCAGTAACGGCACGGCCACAGCAGCAGTAGCGATAGCAACAAGGTTACAGAAAAAACGGTACAGTATTGGAATTTGGACAATGGAGACCCAGGGAGGGGCCGAGGAGTGGGCTAAAGCGGGGGGTGGTAAGGGCGGGGGCATATTGCTTTTTATTGAGATGGAGGAAATCTATGGCTCGAAGCCACTGGGACTTCTTAGTAAGCCAGAGCTGCAGCTAAGTCCTCCCAGAACTCAATTCTCGTGGCAGGTGACGAGTTCAGAAGCTTGTGGCTGACTTCCGGCGGATAGAAGATCCAATGCTTTCGGCCACAGATGTTTGCAGACCAGGAGTGCGAGAACAGCACATCGTGGTGCAGCGGCGTGCGAGTTCCCCTGCCGAGATCGTGTGGGTGCATTACTGCCGCGGCAAACTCGCAACATCAGAGCTATGACACAATCTTATGATTTGGAAGCCCGCCATGCCGTTTACATGCCCGCAAGGCACGCCACTCCGACGTAGGCAAAGCGATAGTCATCCTGAAAAGAGTGGAGCATGCGCGGACAGAGAGAGATAGCTCGCGGCACTGCCACACGCATCTGCAAACATCGTGGCCCAACACGGTGCTGTGGAAACACCGTGTGTCCTTGCCGGTGGCCTTGTCCATATGGAGGTTCAGCCAATCCTCAGATTTTGTGCCGGTTCCAAGTGCCATTTGCGGCCAGCTACGTCTATCTTCTGTAATTTTGATAGACACAACGTCCTTAAGCCTCATGAAATCATCGGAGCTGCTCCGGGGATTCAGTCCTGACGGTCAGCCGAGCAACATGCACCGGCGCGGCCAGGTAGCCCGGGGCCTCGTATGGCACCTCAATCAATGTAAATCGTGGTAACATGCTGTAAACCTTGTCTAATGTGATGTACACCGTGCATGCCAGCAAGGGCTGTTGCGAAGGATACCTCTGCGAGCAATAGGAAGCATTAGGAAGCAATGCCCAGGCACTGTACAACTGGTGTCGGAGATCTGCGCAACTGAAGTTGTGCAAGGTGTGGTCCCATCAGGCAACTCTCAGAAAGCTCACACGGGCCCTGCACCTGCAGCCCAAGCGAGCGGCAAGCATTTACCAGGTGCCAGTCTTTGAGGTACAGCGCGTCGCCTGCCGCAACCGTCTCTGGAGCTGGAAATACTGGAGACCCATCCCAAACATGGGCAACACTCCAACACCCGCCCGACTCCTCCTTGACGGGCGGCCCAGCGAAAGAAGTCGCCCACATCCTGAGACCAATCCGAGGGGCTTTCTCGTACCAGGGCCCTGAGGATTGGGTTCAACTGCATGGGCTCGGCTAGAATGTAGGTTTCAACCAGGTCTGCACACGGGACAACTCCGTTTTATAACGGGGCGGCGTCCAAAACCCTTGATTCCTTGACGCATAGTCCGCACGCGATCCGAGCAGTGCAGGAGGACTGCCTGAAATCCCGAATGGTCTCGCTTTTGTGAATGTGAGAGCACTAAGGAAGCTGCTCTGTTATCTCTCGCTTGTGAATGTACAGGGGCAGCGATGTCCTCTACAACGGTTTAAACAGAACGGATCCTTGCAATATAGCGGGAGTGTGAGGTAAGGTCTCCCGAACCACGAAATCCGTTGTACAATGGGGGGGGAGGTAACCCCCCCACTTTATCAATTAGAAGAAAGCCGCTTTTCAAGGCTCTAATTAAGGCCGATATCCGGACGGCCAACATGGTTCGTGGATGGCAAGTTCAACCCTGCCTTCAGGCTGCGGAACTCTTTTTTCACGAGTGACATTGAGGCTTCTGGCGGAATGTTTCGCCGCAATGCAAACCCTCCCCCCCCCCCCGAAAGGACAGGCGTTCAATTTTTGCGCTGGCTTTGTTCTATCTTTGCTCGCACGGGGTCGTTGCAAAGTGGAGGCAACGACTTTAACGACAGGACTTTGTGTGTATCCATCCGCAAGTTTGAGGTGGGAGGCTCCAACTCCAACACCCGCCCGAGACGGCGCGACACCCCGACAGCTTAGGAGTGCAATCACCGTTCCAGATTACACCTTCCCCTTGTCACCCTGTAAGGAACGTAGAAGAAAGCTTGCTTGCCGGGCATCCCAGGATTGAATGCCATAGCCGTGGCCACAATCCACAACTGGTCCCGTCACACCTGGCGGGCATTGAAGAGTGATTCGGCCGTACCCTGATAAGCTAAGCACTGTCTTGGAGTATTCTGTCGGTTTGCGTGGTACTGCAACTGCTCTGGTTCACGGTTTTCACCCCGGCGGAGAGGCAGTACCTTGAAAGTCTTCTGCGAGCTTTGCAAAGTTGGGCTCGCCGTCCGGGCGCCGCCATTGCGAGTATGCTGGCCAGGCCGGAACCAGGTCGAGAAGGAGGACGGGCCTCTGACAGAAAAGCACGGACGAGCATTTCATGTCGACTCTTGCTTAAGATCTACCCGACCAGGCCGGCACTCAGACTTGCCTGCCCGCAGCAGCACACTTCTCGATGAAAAGTTTTGTCGACAGGTCGCTGCCCCTAACCCGCTGGACCGCAGGCTCCTGCACAGTGCCATTGCACGCCATGGCTCTGTCGCGGGGAAGCACGGAAAGATTGAGCTCTGGCAACAGCATCAACCCTCGTCACAAAGCGAATCGATTGAGCAGCAAGGTGCAGAACTCCACTTTGCGATGCTACGACTGCCAGCCTTTTTCAACCTTCATCCTGTTGCTCGCGAAGCAGGTGGTCCCGGAGTGCGCGCACCGAGGGGTAGTCGAAAACGGTGGAGGGCGGGAAGCTCATGCCGAACTCGCGGCTCATCATTGTTACCAGGGTCACGCCTGACAAGCTGTCCATCCCTGCATCCACGAATTGCGTGTCCAGCTCAATCTCATCGGTACTCGAGGTGACCTCCTTGACAAGCTGCAGGAGCTGCTTTAAGACTTCCTGAGGGTCTAAGGACGTTTCTTTGGGCACCGGCACTTCGGGCAGTTCGCGTGCTTCGGCCTGGGGCGGCTTCTCTGTCGCTGCTTGGGGCGTTGCATGCGTTGCTTGAGGCTCTGGTTGAGATTCCTTGCGGGACACTTCTTCCTCGAGCAGTGCCACCTCGTACTCGGCCTCTGTGTCTCTGACGGACTTTGCGAGCAGCCGCACTTCCTGAACCACCCCGAGAGCATCTGCTTTCAAGCCTTCCGCAGCATACAGCTCTGCAACGAGGAACAAGCATCGCAGCCGTCCCTCGGCATCGCCCAGTTTGGTCAGCAGCTCTGCCGCATCGTGAGCTATGCGACGAGCGGCGGGATGTCGGCCAACTGCTCCCAAAGCATGCGCTCGCCAGTAGAGAGCTCTGGCTCGGAGCATCCCATCACCTAGTTTCCCAGCAACCGCAACGGCCTCCTTGGACGGATTCAGCAGTGATTGCTTCACGTCGCCAGTCTCTGCAGCCAGGGCCAGTTCGGTCAAAGATACAAGAGCATTCACCAAACCATGCCGATCCCCACTCTTCCTGCATAGATCCCGGCTCTCCATTGCCAGATGCCTTGCCTCGCTGAAGTTGCCCTCTGCGCGGTGTAGCCCTGCCAACTCCTGCATTGCTGCTGCTTCCAACTGCAAATCGCCAAGGTCCCTAGCAAGCTTAAGTCGCTGTTCGCTCGCCTCCAGGGCTGCATCCATGTTCCCGTCCAGTCTCTGGATAGTGGACAGCACATGCAAAGCTCTAGCCTTGCCTCGCCGGTCTCTTGCAGCTTCCGACAGCTCTAGGGCCTCCTCCACTAAAGCCAAGGACTTCACCAAGTCTCCGCCATTTGCCAAAGCCACGGCCAAGCGGACGCAGCTGGCCGCTTCGCCAATCCTATCCTCGGCGGCTTCGGCCACAGCCCGCTCACGAGCGGCTGCTTCTCCTGCTGCCGAAAAGCGCCCGCAATCCAGATGAATGTCGAAGAGGTCCCGGTGGGCTCGGGACTCTTCAACATGGTCCTTCACATCCTTTGCTATGGCCACGGCTCGATTCAACGTCCGCACGGCCTCCGCAACATCGCCACCTCAGCTCTAAGACCGGCCGACCGGCCTTCCGCATTCGACGTGTACGTGGCTGTCCTCTGAGCCCCTGGGACCCTGGGCCCCGCCTGCCAGGAAGGAGGCCGCCTCACCGCGGCAAAGTCTGGCCTGCAAGGGCGAAAAGAAGGTTGCTTCGCACCCTCTCAATAGCATCATCTAGCAATCAGGGCCGAAGAGACTCGACAAAGAATCAGGAACAAACATTTCCGGCAAACACAGTTCCGTGAGCCAAATGGATTCGAGAGGAAGATGTCGGATCTGTGTTGGCTCCCACTTGGCGGAGGCATCTCTCTTGCTGGGTCATGCAAACGGCAGAGTGCAACGGTAAGGATGTGCAGCACCCACCAGAGACACCTCGTAGAGAGAAGACCGAGCATCAGAGGAAGGACTAGGAAGGTGTTGCTTTGAATCTTGCCAGCTGCGTTCATATACCCTGCAAAGATGCACGTTTGATGGCACACCTGGGATGGATCGCCCTTCCCGTCGATGAGCTGCTGGGCATCCTGCCGGACCAGGCACAGGACTTGATAGACCTGGACTTTACACCTCGTCGGAAAATGCCACAAATGGCAGCATCATCTGATAGGATCAGCTTCGGAAGTGAAACAGGTTGCAAATTTCAGAAACAGCTCCTGCAGCTCTCTGAGTGCACCTTAGCAGGCAGGGTGGAGCTAGGGCTCAAGAGCCTTTGTCACCCCAGTCGCGCCGCAGTCAGGTGAACTCACATTACAACCCCAACGCCCCGCCCCCCCCCGCCAAAGGATTTGATTTGATTGTTGAGAGGGGGGTCCCAGTACTACTACGCTCTCTGCGACCCTGGGAGCGCTGCCAAAAGGGAAGCTTTGAGGCACCAGGGGCAGTATTATTATTGAGTTTTCGAGATCGGACTTTTTGATTGAGGGTGGGTTGGTAGTTGAGTTTCCGGTCTCGGGTTTTAAATTGAGGGGGATGTATTGACATGAACTGCTCGATCAGTGAAACACCGCAGCTCTGTTCTAGCTCTACCCTTTCCAGACAGGATTCGTTCGGGGTGCTTGGAAACCAGGTGCGCATGGGCGGCGATCTCCTACCAGGACTTGCAGCATCGATGACTCTCCCGGGCACCACTCATCTGATGCATCTGTGCTTCTAGTTCCGTCTCCTGCGAAGCCACCTGGCCTGCCAAGTCTCCATCCTGAGGCGCTTGCAGCACGAGGATAGACAGAGCTGCTTAGATAGGTATGCGATGATCGTACTTGTAAGACTCTAGTAGTTAAAAACAGCACTGGTGCCATCTGATCTGCTAGCACACTATCCCACTCGTTGATGCAGCCGAAGGACATCGCGAAACAGGCCACCCTGCTCCCTTGCAACCTTCGCCGCTGCGGCGGATCTTCCACACTGTGCCAAGGCCTGACATGCCGATGAACTGTTGAAGCTGAAGACCATCAAGGCACCCCAATGAAAAAGGGCTTCGTGCCGAACCCTACCAAACTGCGCGCTGCAAAAGTTTCGCAGCATCTGACGAGCTGATGTCAAATCCGTGCTCGGCACGTCTCTCCTGGCTACTGCTCTCTCAACTTGTGTCTCATAACACTTTGTGTTTTCTAAAACTGGTTTTCTGGGGTGACCACTCTGGCAAAGCACGCAGAATTACACGCGGCGGAGAGCCAAGCAGAAAGCGGGCGGGCAAACGCATCGTATGCGGTATTCCTGAGAAACCTAGCCTCTCGTTTAACCCTTGTGCTTTGGGTTTGGTGCTCGGCTCGTTGGGATGCCACCGAACTAAGCCAGGCTCTCCCACTCGGCCTGGCATAGGACGGAGAGAGCCTTCGCCTGCCAGCCTGCGGAGAGCAAGTAATATAATATAATATGATATAATATAGTATACTATCGTATAATATAGTATAATATAATGTACTATAATATAATAAAGGGTTCCGTGCCGTCACTCTCTCGACCTTCCTGAGACTTGGCCGTCTCAAGAGTACCTCACTACACCATAGCCGCCAACGCAGTCACTACTTTAGCACAAATCCTCTGGTATGCTGGGCTTCTTTGGAGAGGAGTGACCCTTGATTCATTGAACTTACTTCATGGATATCATACTCGCATGTTTGAAAGGACCAGTGAACAGATTCATACGAGTAAGTAACATCGCCGGCGGGGTCCACATACCGGCTTCCGAACTTAAGCATGTGAGTATCGCACCTACAGGACTCAGTACTTGCAAGGTAGTGAACGTCGACCTTAAGAGGTTCGACACGTCTCAAAGGCCACGTTAATCTTCTGTGGGTTAGAGGGCGGGGCATGAAGGCCGCTCTCTCTTCTCCTATTTCTTCCTTCCCAGGCACATCTATTACAATCTCTGGCTCTCCAGTCGCTCCCTCCCTCCCTCCATCCCTGCCTTCCTTCCTTCTGAGGCAGACGGTAACCCCGACCCTTGCGCTTTCGAGTTGCGCGAAGATCCTTCCCTCTCTATCTCTTGTCGGGCTTAGGTGCAAACCCCTGTATCGGAGCACGCCCTTTGCTGGCTGTCAGGTCGGGTTTGGCCGGAGGTTGCGGTTATTCGCTGCAGGCTCTGTGCCCTTCCCTCTTTTCTCTGTCTTTCGCCAGGGTAGAGGCTTTTCCACTCGCTCTTTCTCCCGCGGCATCGGTATCCGAAAGTCGCGGTGCGACGCTGCTCTTTGGCATGGAACTGTTTCCGGCCTTTGCCGTAGCCAATTTCTCGAAAAAGATGAAGAGCCTGGCGCCCGGTCAAGCTTACACCTACTTCGCTAACACTACGAAAGCACTGACAGCGGCGTGAAGCCACTGGACAGCCTGCTCCACCAACAGAACAGGCAAGAAATCTTGTGTGCCTTGGGACATTGGGCTCATGTCACGCAGAATGAATTGAAGTTTACGTCCGCGGCTGCATGTGGCCTGGGGGTGCTCTCTTTGGCTACGAGTATGTAGGCAAACGGCCTTTTTTCTGAAGCCTGCCTGAAACTGGGAAGCTCCGGCGAAACTGGAAACCTCTACACATGGCCACCCACTCTCAACCTCGAGCTCCAAACCCCTCCTCCGTGACAAAAAACTGCACACATGGCCAAACACAGCACAAAGCCCAGACGCACTGAGCAGTACAGTACAGGGACATGATCCCAGACTGTCTCAAGGTGTACCCCCCCACTTGCCTGCTCCGCCGAAGCCACCGCTCTTCCAGGCTTGCCGGCAGCCAGCTGCCATTGCCCGATGGACACGAGCTCTGCCGCCTGACTACAGATGTTGAGGGACCATGAAATCAGAAAATTCGGAGTTCACTACTACCCGAATGCCTCAAGAAAAACCCTGGTTTGCTTCGTCGACGATCTGAAGATGTGCTTGCTTGGGAAAGACAGGTAAAATCCTATTGACAACAGCCTGAAGTTCATGACTGTCGACTGTCTAGGGTTGTCCTCCGACTCTCTCTGTCAGTCATGACGTCGCTCCAAGTCACAAGTCTGTTTAGTTAGCTGCGCCAACCCGTCTAGCATCTCCATGCCTCCATTTTCACGTCGCCCAGCTGCGCAAACAAAGCGCGTGCCTCCTCTGCCTGAGGCACACAGGCCAACACACTCCACACTCTCTACACACAACTCACCATACCACGACCAAGCCGACGCTTTTGCCAAATAGGAAGAGCTTCCATCTGTCAACTGTGTCGAGTCGAGTCGCGTGCACGGCAGCATCAGCGTAGCGATGTCGGCTTGCCATTGTCAGAGCGAGTCCGTGGAAGGCCTTCGCCTGCTGCAACCCTTGAAAGTCTGCGACGTGAGGCGGTACCCCACCAGCACCTACCCATCAGCCTAGCGATGCGACACAAAAGCCCGGAGGTTCGTGGCCTGATTCATCTGGTCGCCCAGGGCCTGGAAGACGCACAGCGCAGATTGCGCGGCCTTGGTCTCTCAGCACGTTGCACACCCCTCAACTGCCGTAATGCTTTGTGATGCCACGCTGCATTCTCAGCTTCATCTGGCATCTGCATCTTGGAGTAGAGGTTCGTGAGGATGAGGTAGGTGCGGGCCTGGAGACGCTGGTCTCGAATCTCCTGCCAGCACTGACACCATCACAACCGTCAGGTTTCCTCACTCTCTTTAACTCAACGATCACCATTTAAACTCACGATTCTCACTTGCTTGCTTGCTTGCTTGGGGTTTGAAGGGAAAACCCTCCGGCCCGAGGGCCAACCCCCCAAGGCGCGCGGTCGTCTGTCTGAGCGGCCCCTTTCGGGGGTGGGAGATGGTCACGTTCCCTTGAGTGAGCCTGGCACCCAGTCCCGAAGAACACCCCTCCGAAACCGTAATCGTGGATTCTCACTCTCCCTCTGAGTATTCCCTGGACACGTTCACTAAGCAGACCCCCGCCATCACGGCGCGACATTCTGTGCCACAGCCATAGCTTCTGAGAGTGTCCTGAAATGTGACCAGCGCGGCCGAAGCCGCCTCCAGGGCCTCTGCACGCTTGCGTGCACCGCGTCGGTCCATGTTGATCTCCTGGAACGGGGGCAGCACCTTCCTGCTGCCAGCTTGCTGCACTGCAAGTACAGCGAGATAAATGGCCATATATGGCCATGGTGCCATGGCTACAGTAGCCCCTGCCATCCCGACAGCCAGCCGCAATTCCAAGCTTCACACCTCCCCTGCCAGACCGCCAAGAATCGTGCGCAATGCCTAACAAAACTCACAGCATACTGAGCATACTGTAAAGACGTCGAGGCAGCTCTTCCAGTGGGTTTCCATCGCACGTTCACCAGGTGCAACCAAGAATCGGCCAAGGCCAGGAGCATGGAAGCCTCGCCTCGCCGATCACCATCTGCTCTGCAGTGCTCCTCTTTCGAGAGCCAGGGACTGTGGAAGTTTCTGTCAGCTCCATGCTTGTGTCACTTCTTGCATTCTATCGCACTCACCGTACCTTTGCGTGCTTCCAGTGTTACAATGTCAGCTTGACTCAGCTTACCCACACAGTGAATCATGTCAGGATTTTGTACGAAACTTCAGAGCATCGAAGTTGCAGCGAAAGCGAAAGGCGAGGCACCAACTCGTCCGAGGCGAGGAGAAGCGCCTGAAGGCTAAGCCACGGGCACGGACTCGGGAAACTCGAAGAACTGCGGCTACGAGCGGCACCTCCTCGGGTTTACGCTGCTCCACAGCAGCCTTTAAACGGTGAAATGCCACCACCACGCGCAGGGCGTCGTGGACACCGTTCAGGCCCTCGCTGCCTGAAGCGATGCCGTGGCATTCTGCTATGCAGCTGTCAGGTTCGCAGCCTAGGGCCTCAGGGCTCACACGAAACAGCTCCAGGCAAGGGCAAGGTGTTGTGAGGGTGTGGCAGCAACGCAGTCTGCATGGTGCACTTGCAGAAGCAGAATAGGGTTTGCAAGATGCTTCGCCTGTTGCTTTGGGGACACTGACGCAAAACAAGAAGCCAGTTTCCCAAAGCCACCTGCGTCCGAAACCTGCAGTCCCACCTAGGCCGCGGAAGATGTTCAGCGCATCCGTGGCAGCCCGGAGACATTCGGGCGTCAACCCATCTAAGCTTGACTCGGCGCTCACCAGGAGCTGCCGGGCTGCCTGAAACAGAACTTCAAGCTCCTCACACTCTCGCGAAATAAAATCACTGACGCGATTCCACGAATGTCATGGTGCCTCCTCGGTAAGACGCGGCTTGGCCGCCATGGCTCTGAGCGGCCCATCTCTGAGCTAGGCCCTCTGGAGAAAGATGCTGCATGCACATTGACATGTGTGTCTCGAAATGCTGCTTCCGCTGCCTGTCTTCTAATGAAATAGAGGTTCATTGCGAGATTCAGAAGTGCCCACAATGTCACAAAAAAAAAAAAAAAAAACGCG